ACTCTGGACGGTATGATCGCTAGTTCATATATTAAAAACTGTGCTATTAGCACTTCAGAGATACCTATACCATTATAATAAAGCGTAAACACACACACTTTTTTTTGCCTAAGATGTCAGCAATTACAGCATATTTTTGAAAAACTCTTTTTTTTTTAATAAAATGTCCTACACTTGCGTCACGTTTTAGGCTAGATATTTTAACGCCATTAAAGTTAAGGGGTACATATCTTGGATAAAAACCCTAATGTAGGAAAGAGACCATAAGTTGCTGCCAACATCAAGGGAGCAAGACTGTCATCATGTCATGTCATTTTGACTTTTATAATTGATAATATGACAAATGTAAACAATAAAATAAAATTTTCATAATTTCATGCGGATGGAGTCGCATGGGAACAGCTAGTTTTATAATAACGTCATAAACACGATGTTTATTAATCTGCAATTAAGATGCCTATGTGTCATCAAATAATTAGTAAATGTGTGAGTCATCTTTTCTTATGTTATTCCCCTTATGATGTGGGAATACCACAGTAGTTGTATCTGAACCGCAGAGATATCTGTGCATGAGTAATGTGATAACCGTATCTAGCTTCCGACTCCAATAATTATTTTACGGGACTTTCCTTTTATAGTACATTTGATATTCGTGTTTACTTAAAATGTAAAACATACTTCAACGTATTTCATTTAATAATAGACAGTGTCTGTCTGTTGTAAAAACAAGGTTTACATTCTCTAACCTCTTTCACATACATTATTTTGCTTTATCATTTTTCTAGATTATAGTTTGTCTAAATAAGAGAGATTAGTTTGATAAATGACGCATATGAAGTATCGAATTCAATTTGTATGAAGGCGAATGCCATACTTAATAGACAGGTATCGTAGTGACGAAACAAACTCGCATAACGAACAGTTTTGAACTATCGATATTCGGTTAAAATAATTATCGAACTCAACTCAAATTATTATTTTTTATTGACTAATTTATAGGACAATTCTAGTATTGATTATAGTGTAGAGAATTTAGCGATGACAGAAACAATAGCGAAATCCAATTCGATTACGTATGGCTGTAGTAGTAATAAACATTTATTTACTCTCATTATTTGTTAAGGTCATTGTTGAAAACAGTGTTTTTTTTTTCGTTTTTATCGATTCCAAGTTCTATAAGAGTAAAAATCTAAAATCGATAAGATTCATGACTGATTTTACACAACACATCCCTACTACATTTGAAATGAATTGTCAAACTAATCTAAATTATTTAGACATACTATAATGTATTTATTTAAACCCAATTAAAACGCTATTTAACTTTAATATAAAGTTTACTTATATTTCTAATAAATATGCATAAATTGCCGTTTAATAAGGCCGGCGCTTGATATACATATTCAAGAGTTGCTCTAAAAAGCAGATCATGAAAATTCATGTGCCTTTCCCTTTTATTTGCTTGCAAATTTTTATAGTACATTGTTAAATTGATCTGTGTACTAAAAATGTGTGCAAAACTTTTAAATGACAATGTATGTGTATTTATTTAAATTAACATTAAACCTTAGGTGATTAAAATCGTCGTAATATCGTTGCTGTTAAAGAAATTCTACCCTAAAACATGTTTCTTAAAGGATAGTAAGCAGAATAAAAAAGTTTCTCGCAGAGCTGGTATTCGTAAAGCACTCGGACCGCACAATGACCGGGAACAAACTCCACAACTTGGAGAGCTCGTTATTCATTTTCACTTTTATTTTGTAAATTCGCTTCATACTTTGCCGTCTATCTGAGAATGCTTGCCAATTTAATGTTGTAAATGCAAAAGGTTTATGTTGCACATCTGAGAATCAACCGGATTTTAAAAATAGAACAATCGTGAACAGTCCTTAAGATGATACATTTCATTTTTAATTCCAATTTTTTATTGCTAATTAAATAACACAACCACCTAACATCGTAAAATTAATTCTTGTCTCTTGTTAAAATTACAAATCTGCATTAACAGTATTTCAGTAGATCACTTGATTTTAAAAAAATATTTATGGATTCTATTGATGCTATTTATACTTCACGTATTTTGCCAAATTCATTGAAGTATAAAAGTACCTTCTAATAACCAGTATCTATCCAAAATTAACATTATTAGGGTGAAATTTTAAGTCGATACTTCTAATTCGCTTCGCTTTATAAAATATCCAGATACGGGAATTGATTGTAAGCACAAAGAAGGCAAGCCGTGCAGGCGCGCATTTCGATGATAATTTCCCGAGTGGGCTACCTTGTATGGCCATGAAATTTTTAAACATTAAATAACGTTTAAAGTATTGTTGAAAAATAACTTAAGTAAATAACACAAAAAGTAACAATTTATTAACAAATTTTTACTAAATCTTATAATATTTTAAATTGATTTTTATCGTTTTTTTCATCTATAATAATATTAGTCTTTGAGATTGTAGGTGAAAAATATTTTAGGGACAAAAATAAATGACACCTCCGTGTGGAAATATATGAAATCTTTTATATGCTAATGCAATCCTATTGTTCGGAAATTGAATCTTCAGCTTAAGAATTATTCATGATAGGTGAGAACTGAATTTATATTTGTATATGGAAGTATACAAACATTTTATAAAGAAGTTAACCTTAATATTAGCTTCCGAAATATAGGTAGAAGAATATTTGGAAATTGGTTTGATGTTAAAAAAGGGATTTCGGATACGCTTATTGGTAAATATACTCGTAAATGCGTTAAAACCCTCCAAAAAATCTGAGATAATTAAAATGTGTTTGTATATAAAAGCAATGGAAATGGCCGTTTAGAAGAAATTGGATTTAATTTTTTCCTGCTTTTAAAATAAAATATTTCGTTTAGTTAAGTTCCACTGGGAAGCGACCTTTTATTTGTATTGTGCTTGCTAACTTTTAGGAGCAACTGGCGTGTAAGTTCACGCCACAATAGGATTACCAAGTGACCTAAAAACCTACACCAGGAGGTTAATTCTATTGCGCATTCAAAAATATGTTTTTTTTACTCATAATATGCGCATATTGGATTCAAATATTACAGTATTTTAAATTACTTTAAAAAAATTTCAATGATTTGCTTGTCTCCTAAGTTTCTATATATTGGCTGTTAAGGAGCTATGTTCTGTTAGTTTATTTCGATACTGACCAAGTTTGTAAGTCAATGACACTGGCGTAGTAAAGTTTGGCCATCATACTCGGACTGCTATTAAAGTTGGAACAATCTTGAAAATAGAACAATACTATTTCCATAACAACTATCAAAACATTTACGTTATGTACTTTATCAATAAAAGTTAATAGGGATTTATGTTGATTTCTTACCGCACTCAGAGTGATTATGTGGTCCCAATAGTTATTTTTTATTTAAATGTATGGTAAGGATCACTCAATTGACAAGTCATAGTGGCGTTTATTTTTTTCTACTGAAATAGACATTTGCAAAATATCTTAAAACATTTTATATCCGGATTAAACCGTGTGCTAATTACTCTCTTAGAACTGGCTATCAATAACTTTGATCTAGTATGAAAAATGCAAAATTAAAAAATATAGTTACTGTAATCTTTTTCTTCGTAAGATTTGTTATAATTCTGAATATAAACCATACAAGAACTGGCAGGCTGTTTCTTTAAATGTGGGGTCCAATTGGAAAATAACGTTAGTTATAGAAGTTCGATGGCGAAACTTTTCTCGCGTAACGACCTCCACTTGGAAAGTTTGTGTATAGAAAAATAAAATAGAACTAACGGCTCTCTGCGCATATCGACTTTTGCATTTCAACTTTTAATATAGCCATGGCTGTCGTTTTTGATATTTATTTGGATACTGAAATAAAATGGTTCTTTGCTATTAAAAGCTTTGCATTTTTGTTCCTATAATACGCTCTCGGTGTTTTCTTTACTTTTCCAAACAAACGTTCAGTTTGTTCTAGAAAGTGAATAGTTCAACGATTGCGAAACCTACGTTAAAATTAGATGTAAAAATGATCATAAAACGCAAGGAAAAGTTTCATAAAAAGAAAGATTATAATTGTAAAGATAAATTAGATTTATAAGTGGAAAAATCTTCTCCGATGACTACTGAACATTCTAGCTAAGTTTAAGTAAAAATGTTGGTCTGAAATTATATCTGTTTTTCTCAAATGCTAATTCAGCCGCGGTTACTTGGTGTTTGGATATCCAACGGTATTATAACACTCGTTTGGCCACACCATTCCTCTGCTCGTTTGAAAATTAACAAATGTTTGTGCATAATTCTTAGTTCAATATCTTTCCTGTAATTTCTGCATCAGCTGCCTTATACTGAAACTGATGCCAGAATCTATTTCCCGTGTTGTAATGGCACGATCCTAGAATACTAGTGACCTTATTTGTACTCAGTTAGGTAAGACTAGCGCACTGCATGCGTGCTTTGAATTAAGAAAGCTTACCTGCTCAGCCGTATCCCGCAGTTACATTCGTAACTTGGCGCCTTATTAAGCCCCATTGTATTCTCTACGGAGGAATGTACGAACAAAACAACCTCATTTCTTTTTCTTGATATTAATAAAATTATTTCTTAAAGTCGGAAACCGCAATGGCAAAATCATAATAATTGCAATGTTGTAAATCATTAAAATAATAATTACTAGCTGTTCCCATGCGATTTCTTCAGCATAAAATTATTTTATTGTTTACATGTGTTAAATTGTCAATTGCAAATGTCAAAATTACATTGGCAATCTTGCTTCCTTGATATTGGCAGCAACTTAAGTAGTAAGGGCTTTTTACTTAAAAAAGAATTATTCAAAAATATGCTGTAATTGCTGACATCTTAGGCAACAAAGAAGTGTGTGTTTACGCTTTATTATATTAGTATAGATTTAACTGTACTATTACTACTATTAATTGAAAATTGTTAAAATAAAAAATGGTTTTTCTAATTTTGCTTTATTGCTTTAACTTATACCTATACCTTAAGCACAGACCTTTAATTGCTTACTAATTTAAATTATATCTACTATCTATTACATAGTATCTACACATAAATAGGAATAAATTACTACATTTCAAAAACATTAAATTCTACATACTACTCTTTGCTTATATACACACTAGCTATCGGCCGCAATTTCGACCGTGTAAATTAACAAGGAACTGAGTACTAGTTTAGTCCAGATCTGTTCAATTGTTTAGAATTAAGTGGTAACGAACAACCATATGTACATATTAAGTTACGCGATAACATTAGTAAGATTTGCACATACTATACTTAATAGCAATTTACTATTTTTAGCTTAGTAAAATATCATATACAATATTATATTATACGAGGCGTATGAAATCTTTGTATACAAGAGTAAATGCAAACATTTCATATAATTAAATAATTAATTCTATTACTTTTAAACGTTATTCTTCCCTTTTCTTTAACCTAAGTTGTATACCATTTATGGATTCCGTTATTATTCTGTATTTAAATTGTGGGTCTGTGCCAGGCTCGCCGGGAAGGATTTCGTATCTCCTCAATATATTTGACAGTGTTGCTTTCATAGCCACCCAAGCGTACCGGAAACCTAAACAAAAGAAAGTTGTTAATCACGCTGTTAATAGCCGCGGGCAGTTTTGTCGATGACTCTCCCACCCATGAAAACCGACGGCGTTCCTCGTCTGCCTAGTAACGTTATTTAACGCGTGACGTCATAAGGCGATTAACAAAGCTTCTATGCATGAGCAATAAATGTTTGTATTTAGTAACTATTCAATTCCACTGGCGTGACACTAGTATAAACAATTTGTTGTCGCTCTTTCGTCAAATAAAAAAAAAGATTTAATGATAAATGCAAATAGTTGGGGCACAGTATTGAGTATATTACCAATGCAATTTCTTGGTCCAGCACTAAACGGGATAAACGCGTATTGATGCATGTTGTTTAAGAATCTTTCAGGCTTGAATTTTTCTGGTTCCGGGAAAACTTTAGGATTCGCAAATAGTGCGTCGAAAAATATCAACACGGAAGTTCCTGCTGGAGCGATTCGACCATCTGTAAAAAAGTTTAATTTTTAAATTTTACACTAGTTAATAGCCTTAGTATTACAAGAAGAGTCTTATCAAATGCAATCTAGGTAGACACATTTCATAACATTACATATTTTTGAGCGTTAAGTGTAACTACAGTAGAACCTCGATAATTCAAACCTCGGTAACATAAAAACCTCCATAACTTCAAAAAATAATATGTTCCCTTCCCATCAGATACCAAACCTTCTATAACATAGACCCTTGATAACTTAAAACCTCTATAACTTAAAATATGTTGTGTTTCCCTTGGACTTTAACTTATCAAGGTTCTACTGTATTAATTACCCAACTATAACTATGTAATGCGCAGTACTACCTTTGAAGTGGAGATCACTTTTAAGTTGTCTTCCGATCTTTGTAACAGTGGGCACCGCTCGAATACTCTCTTTGATAACTGCTTCCAGATACTTCATTTCTGTTAAATCGTTATTGGTTGGCTTCTTAGTAATATCATTGTTGAAAACTGACAGTTGTTCTTCATATACCCTTTGCTGGATCTCAGGATATTTTGCTAGGAAATACAGCGTATGACTCATTGTCATCGTTGTAGTATAATGTCCCTGAAATTAAAAGAACAGTTTACTTCTGAATATCAAAGAGGCTTAGGTTAGATAGTTTTTTTTAAAACAAACTTACCGTAAATGCTACAAGAGTGATCTCCTCATTGATCACATCGTCGGGTATGTTGTCTCCGTTAATTGACTTACTAAGGATGAATTTATCCAAAAGACACGCATCGTCTGAGAACTTCTCAACAATTAATTTATCGATGTCAATGTTAACATTTTTGTTGTTATTCTTAGTGTCGTCGATAAACTTTTGTAATATTTTTCGTCTTTCTTTTATTATCTGTGAATTAAATTCAATGTTAATGAAATCGATTTTTGGAGAATGCGTTTCGTTTATTTTACAATTTTTATTTAAAATATTGTTACCTCCGTGCTTTGATTTTTGATCGTCTTGATGATTGCCATCATTTCTTTGTAGTACGGCGATAGTACAAAAAGTGGCCGAATATTTCTCCAGTATGAAAAATAATTGTCCGTGATGAAACTGATAACTCTGTAATAATTAAGAATATTGTAGATTACATATTACAGTTTAAAAGTCTTATCCTATACCTAAGGTTTTTGAACTGAGTTTTATTTGATAAAAATACTTACTGACTACTGGCTTCTAAATAGGGATGTTCGAGGTCATCAAGCATATGGAAATTAACACCCATTAATGAATCTGGAAGAAAATAAAGATATAGAACATCAGCACTCTTCGCTAACTAGTACATTTTACTCCAATGCTTAAATCAATTAACTTACTGCATAATAAATCAAACATATACGGTCTCAAGTAACGGTAAACATCAACACTTGTTCTGCCTGAATACTTGTCAAAGATAGTAAAGAGACTTTCGCAATAATCGTTGACATCGGTTACTCTTTTTTCCAGAGTTTTATAATGAAAACTTGGATTCATCAGTTTTCGTGTGGATCGCCACCTTTCTCCTGTTGGAAAAAAAATATATAAGGTTGAAGTTAAAGAAAGCAGACGTAAATACATTTAGTGGACAAGTAAAAGGTCCAATCACGGCTTAGTGCCTTAGATGATTATAATATATTTTGTAAAATAAAAATGTCATCAATCAACAAGAATATAAAATTACTTAAAACTGTTTAATTGCTTTGTAATATACATTACAGCTACAGGTAATTACACTTAATAGACTTGAACGACCAGAATTACCTTCTGAGGTTGATACTGAATTCCCAAAAAATGGCATCATAGCCACATTCCGTTCTAACGGTTTCGATAATTCCGTAGGGCTACTTACAAGTGTCTAAAACAAAAAATATCATTTGATTGTCTTTAAACATATTTTTGCAACAAATTGTATATTATGATTGAATTGATGGATGGATTGCGTGAAAGGTGACATACGGCCGGTCTCAATAACGCATCCTGGATCGGGAGATCGCTTCAATCGAGAAATAAAACGATCTGCTGGTTGATCACTAACCGGTGTCTCAATAACACCGGATAGCAAACATCAACCGATTTTCAAAATGGATCAGCGGGATCGATGTACTTTGTGAAGTTCCCTCCTGGCGTTCCATTTCAAGCAGATGTCATTATGACTGTGTTGTAAACCTATTGATGAATTTAAGAAAATATGCACATTTTTGGTTTTTGATGTACTAACTAATTATTTATTTGTTGCGTATTTTACGAATAAAACGTGTTTCAACATTTTCCAAGCAAATTTTCATCAACCAATACTCCCTTTTCGGAGTTTTGGTAGCGGTGCGAGATCGTAATCAGAGGAATATATTGTCTGTCAATGTCATTTGACTTCAGTTGTCAATGTTATTTACATCAGCTATTAATTTGAAATTAATATAGCTTCTATTCGTGTTTCTTGATAAACAACTAAATATTCACCATCGAAAGTGTAAGTGCAATGGTATGTATACTTTTATTGAGTTTTTAACATGTTTTTACTTTCTATACTTTTATTCAATAAACTTCCCCGTGAAGACGCTTCAATTCGCGCCTAATTTGTATAAACCCTTTACATAGTAATTTCTTATTATTTCCAGACCTCAAGCAAGCCTCTTACGAAGGAGGACACGAAAACACTGCTTTCGTTCATTGAAAGCAGTAAAATTTAATTGACTTGATGATTGACTAATGCTACCACGAATAAATTGAAAAATGAAGAGTGAAGACGGATAAGCGAAAAATTCAATGTTTGTTGTTGTTTGTTTATTTTAATGTACTACTATTTTTGTAATAATTAAAAACTTTATTTTTGTAACAAATATAAAAACTGTATTCTTGTAATAAATATAAAAGCTTGATTTTCGCAAAGTTTTTTATTTGAAATACTACCATCGCCCTGAATGCATTTCTTCTTCGTCCCAGTCTGAAAGTTGCTTTAACACTTCCAAATCACTTTCACTATCAGCTATCACTATACGACAGCAAGCCAACCATTTTTTAATCTCATAATAAATTAGTAGAATCTTCCGATTTCCATAGATTGTAAAATAAAGATTGAGAGATTTGTCAAAATTCCAAAAACATTTATTGAAACACTACAACTGTCACTTTCAAACAGAGGGCGATCCGAAAAGTGTTAGAAATCAGATTTTTCCCTCCAATAGATTAGTCATGTTTTTAGATCGAATTTCTATCGTTCGGTCGTTTATTGAGACAGTATTTCAAAAGATTAGGGTACGGATTGGGATTTTCGATTGAAAAAATTGCATATTGAGACCGGCCGATAATCAAGAAGGTAGTGATGATTGAGATGACGGTTGATACAGTTATTTGGAGTACGAAAACCCGGTGCGCCGACCCTAGGGGTAGGATAAGGTACATAGGTGAGATAATGATCATGTATAAATTAATTTAATAGGCGTTAAGTTTACATAAGCACATTAACTGACTTACCCCAACATCATCGGGTTCAGAGAGAAGCACCCATTCTTCACTCCCCACAGTTAAACGGAAATTAGATTTTCCGTGTTTTTTCCACATGTCGAATAACCTGTTTGCTGCCTCTGAAAATGTCATAGAATTGAGAGAATCTAATTTGATCAAAATAATTAAATAATGATCATTTAGACAGTATCCTGTAGATGTAGTGTTAAAGACACATATTTATTTCAGGACTTTTCGCAATTAATTACCACTAAATTGTTAAATAGAATTGCATATTAACATGCAATGAATTTTAAACTGTTTTTCAGTAACCTATGGCTAGGCAGGTTTTTAGATTATGAGGAATTTTATAAAATCATCATTAACTCCTCTGAGTTAACGTCTAGCGAACCGCAAATTCAATGATTTCAGTTATTTTGATATAATGTTTGTAGTGTTTATCCAGCGTTGCAACATCATGGGTTCTGTGGCCACTAAATATAGTATGATAAAGTGGTGGTAAAAAATATATCTCATTTGCAATTTGATTTCGTGCCACAGATTTCCTTTCGACATTTAACCACATTTTAATGTTCAATAAAAAGATAGCAGATAACGGGAGTACATAATTTCTAACAAGCAGTCGTCGAACGATAATTTATGGTTTCATTAGCAAATTAGCAGAATCAGACAAAGCATTTATCTAATCTTACCTAATCCTTTATGAAAGAACACTAGACGCTTGTATTAACAATAATCAATCAGTACATATATCTAACATATATCAAGATTTACTTTGGAAAAGTTATATATTTTATTCATAATTACAGATAAGAATAAATAATTAGAATTATTTCTGGTTGAACATTAATGCCCGCTGCTTATGCTTATACGTTAACTTTGAACGTAAAGAATTTTGTGTCAACAAACTCTGCGACTAGACCTGTAAAATTAATTTTAAACAACATTTGTTGGGCTACAGAATACTCTGAGTTTAATACTCTGTGTAAAAATAAATTCAACAGAATTTATTTCAAATAGTGATAATAGGCTATTAGTTGTTACACTTTTTCAAAATTACCAAGATTCTAAAATAAAAAGTGGTGAAAATATCGCGATAACCGAATACTGTTCAACAAATATTTAAAACTAGCTGTTGATCGAGACTTCACCCTCGTGAAATTAAAAAAAATAATAAAAAAACACAGCCTATGTTTTTTCAATACATACAAAATATTTTTTTTATAATATTAGTATAGATGTAATTAATCGAAAGTAGTGAAGAATTGCAACTTAATACCTGAGATTAGGCTTTGAATACTTAACTATTAAAGTTATTTATTTACGATGTTTTCGAATTTTTTAATAAGGTGTATTGTTTTTATAAGATTACTAGCTATATCTATTATTAATTTGAATTGTAAATTAGGCTTACCATCAGCATCAAATCCAAGTTCTAAGACGTTGCCAATGAGCGGCAAAGGTGGGCTGCCAGGAAACTTACTCAGGTGTTTCCATCTTTGACTGTTCTTTTTCATTACATCGTGAAAAATAATCAACACGAAAACTATCACAACGAGAGATACAACGACAATCATTTTATTGCCACAGATAATAAAATGTTAAAAATTAAACGTAGTGAATACGTTTATCTCAATCACTGTCTTCGTTGAGCGGTAATGATTTATTATGATTAGAACTATAGAACTTTCAATTTATAATTTGCCACTATCAATTCTGTTATCGATTATGTCAGTCAATCGAACGTAGATTTTTAGAATCCTCTTACATCACTTAGGTTATTAAAAATTGTAACAGAAAAAAATCTCTTCAAATTTAAAAAAAAAAATAGTTAACTTTATTTAGGTTTTAGAGAAAATTACTGTTAGCAATAAAATTGCAAATATTAAAGAGGCACTACCAATCAATGTAGAGATGGAATCACGACTGATTTGACTGTATGAAAGCGCTCGATTTATAAAGGTATTTCAAGCTTAGGTTTCCTGCAAGTTGGAAAATCTACCGACTGTCTACGTCATTCTATACGATTGCGTTTAGCTGGAATTGTTTAGTGTTATAGGTAAGATGGTACGTTAAGTTTTAGAAGTTAAAGGGTTTAAAAATTTGGATTATCTTGTACTTAAAGACATATAAAAAAGTAGTAAGCTAGTATTTTAAATACGAGTATAGTGTCTTGAGTCTGTGTGTGTTTTTTAATAAATAGTAAACATTAATAATAGATCGTTTACTTAAGTATATCCATGTGTAAAAGACAAAAATCACGAAATTAAAGTGACATAATAAAACATTTGTTTCCATAATTCACGTTAACAAATAGTACCAACTATATACCGATTCGGATAGTATTCGTAAGTAATAAATGCAAATTTTCGAATAAATTTATTATTAAATAAAGCAATAAAACGTTCACAGGTAATTTTTCTGTGAAGGAGGAAAAGAACGTCTCTTGTACACTGTTCTCCAGCCGTCAGTTAAATGCAATGTTGTTTTTATATTGCATTAATGAAATATTGTTGCGAGATAATTACACTAATCACATATGTCGTAATTACAAATATCCTAACAACCAAACGATTGCATTAAGATATTACGGAAAAAGAAACAAATGAACAACGTACGTGAAGATTCATGTTTAAAATGGTCGCTATTATTCCAAATGAATGCTTATTAATATGTACAATTGTAATGAAATTAATCTAAGGAGACTGTACACGTTTTATTAGTTTATAAGTGTTTTAATGACGTCATTTTCGGGCAATTCCTTAACTCATATGACGCTTTTATCAATTACAATACACAAGTACTTCCACGTTTACTTCGAAATTCATGAAATTAGTATGGCTTTAATATTCTAAAGGGATCTTATTGTCAGTCCTACCAAATTGTAAATTGTCTGATAACAATTTAACGTGTAAAATATGTGGTGAAAATATCGGTTTTCGTTGATGTCATTTTTAATATATCTTAGCCTCTATCAGTCGGTGGTGGGACATGCCCTAAATTTCATGTTTGTAGATAAGAAATAAGCGTTATTTAAGTAGGATAGAAATGCAAAAATGGTATCAACCCTTTAAACGTCATTTTAAGAGGACTGTCACGTGGCAGTCGTAATCAATGGCTACGTTAATTGTAGACGTGCGTGATTGAAATGCGTGATTATTCATGTCGCCAATCTAGTTTCGTTACTGCACTTTCCTTGATTGCCATTATGATGGGCGAATTGTTTCAAATGTAATATGGATATAGGATTGTTTCCTATACTGTTCCATATATAAATTCATAGTTATTTAATATATCTCTCGATTTACATTAAACGCATTGTTGTACAACATTTCAGAGAGCATATACTCGTATACATGCAATAATTTATACATTCTTTGCCCATGTACAAATGTATTACATAAATACTTTTAAATTGTCCTTTTAAAATTTTAAGAATCTTCATTTTTTACATGATCGTAACATCTTATTGGCCAAATAGACCAAGCTACTAATTGTACACGTGTTTTAAGTTAAGATTAGGCGTGTAAATTTTTATATTTGGAAAGATTTTGCTATTTCAAAAACTCTTAAGTGATCTCGACCGACAAACCCCAAGGGCACTTAAGGTACGAACTTAATACTTTTTGATTCGATTCTAAGCTAAGGTAAAGTTATATACAAAAACATTTAAAATTAAATATACATTTATGGTCAATTTCTTACTTTACTTAAGTTTCAACACGTGACATACAACCAGGGTGAGATCTACTAAATAAATGTTCAGAGAAAAGAGCAGAGAGTGAAAATGTTCATATTATTTCGTAGCTTTTTATTACTGACCTATATTTTATCTATTTACAAATGATTCCAAACAGCGTTTCGAGACCATCTGCAATTAGTGGAGATTTTCTGTAAGAGCACTCCTTAACTATGTTCCGGTTTGCGTCCAAACTAATCAAGTTGGCGTTAGCACGTCGAGAGTTCCTAACACTCATTAATTTCTTTGAAGTCTCAACTCCGTGCCGCAACTTCGCTGCTGCTTTTTCGCTGTCAATTATAAAAAAAATTACCTTCTAATCTTTAGAGAATTAAAAATGACTTCAATTTTTATTCATTAATATTTTATAATTTACTACAATACAATTACTTCAAGTTTACTAGTACCAAAACATTTTAAAACACATTAAACTTTGAATTTTAATCGTTATTTATGAATCTTGTTCATATCCCGTTCATCTTAAAATTTCCAATTATATTTTGAAAGTATCTTTACCAATAAGGAAAGACTCATATGAAATACATACCATGTTATACCAGTCTGGGAAAACCCAAGATAAAGTCTCATGATCTGATTCATCTCTTTGAAGCCACGAAAATTAAACCAAAAAGCGCATTGCGTTAGTTTGCAGTTATTGTTAACGTTGCTGCTTTTTTGTGGGCTCTTAGTATTGGTGAAGATTTTTCCTTGACGTGTGTGTTTATTTGTTGTTTAGATCAAGGTCAAGATTACGTCCTTTATGGTTTATATATACTTATTTTATTAATGTATTGGCTATATGTCAACAGTTTCTGAAATCGGATGGTAAATTAAAGTTAATACAAGATTAAATTGTCTTTCTTTTTTTCGTTTCTTAGAATATTATCGCTAATACATTTTAATGTTAGTATTTTATTATGTTCATTTGTAAAACAATTAATTCAAATCATTGTCGCTTACACACAAGAAATATTTAAATAACATTCTAACAATTAGTTCTTTTACCCTGTTACTGAAATGTTACTTCAACCTTCGAGCAATAATGAAATGATGTAAAGTTTAGACAAAATTATCCTATGATAACAATGATAATACCATCACATATTGTTTGAGTACCCTCGACGTGTCGACTTCTATCCTTGAACGAAGCTAAGAGAACATGTGAGCAATAAAGTTTGATATAATTAAGACGTGAATATACCGCGGCGCACAATCCATTAACGAGCACCGTATCTCACCTGCATCCAAAATACCGCTCCACGTAACACTATTTACCTCCGCAACTGTAAGTAATATTTGTTTATACTAATTAAGTTTCATGTATAAAATATTTACCCCGCGTACAGATTCACATTTACACATTTTTCCTTAAGTTTAATTACGGTTTCGCATACTTTTACTGTAAACAAAATGATCGTTCGTTAAGAATATAGAAGGTGAAATTGGAAGTAGGACTTGTATTTGGTATCTGTGCCACATGATCAGAGGAACCGCGGAGAATGCAAACGATGCATAAACAGTAATAAAAGTCAATTCTAGTGTATCTCCATTGTATTACTACAATATTACCTTACCCCTCATTCTCTTTGAAAATCAATCGATACGTATAATAAAATTGGAGTGTCTGTTTATAATATCAAAATAAAAATTCCTGATTTCGGGACGATGGTGTATTTGTGTGTGTTTGTGTGCGTTGCTGATAACGAGAATCGCATTTTAAAAAAATGTTTGTCTGTCCGCAAGCCGCTTTATTTCCAGGCACTCTCTGAAACGGCTGGGCCGATTTCGACCGGACTTTCACTGCATGGTAGCTGACATAGACGGACATATTATAGGCTACTTTATTTTAAATTCCGCTCTGTCAAATTGGCGTAACGGGTGGTCCAGATTTGCGCTAACGAAGTTTGTGGGTTACAGCTCGTAATAAATAAGATAGCAATAGCCCGTACTTGTATCGCGCCATTTAACTCACGGTATAATTCAATTCAGTATGTATTAAATGTGTTAAAGGCGACAGTCACATGTCGCGGCACATTGGTACGATTTACAAACAGTGTTGATTAGCGTTCCGGAAATACGATAATAAGCAATGCCTACAGCACGTTTACAACTTTAACAATGTACACAGCGGTTATCACACTCTTATACTATTAAATAAATGATTCAATTGATAACAAAAGTAAGTCAAAAGAAAAGAACGCATAATTAAAAGACAAACATCAAATTCAATAGTCTTTATTATTGCACTGTATCAACCTGTCTCATTTTTGTTATTTAATAACATGTAGGTAATTTCATTTTTATAAAACTACTTTAATCCAATCTGATAAGATTAAACCAAACTAAGAGGATGTTACTCCAAATAAAATGTATCTTATCAAATTCATGTTGGGGATTTGAGTTGTACAAGTTATTTCTTATCTGGCTTAATATATTTTCTATCATGCGTGTCTAAACTGTTTCGCTTAATTAGAAACGCACCTAAAATTTCTATTATCAATAGGTAAAAGATTAAATTAATCCTTATTCTTATTAGCAGAATGTTATTAATTACATTTTCTTATAACATTAAATTTAAGACTCGTCGGATACATTTTACAATATTAGTTGATTGCGAGGATTTGAACCCTAGACAATGTGATCGGCGTCGGTAGATACCCTTAACAATTATGCTATTGGCTCTAACCGTTTATCTTCATTGTGAATAAACAAGCGCTAGAAAATGATACCATTTGAAAACAGATTACACATATTTATAAAGATAACCGACTCGGCAAAACTGCATGTTTCCTTGTAAATAGTGTATCGTAAAAAAACTTGGTATCTAATTAATTTCATACTATGATTATCCTCTATATCTACATTAAATAGGTTCAAATGTCAGGGTTTTTGTAAGGAAATGAATAACCACTAGTCTAGCCTACAGGAAAAAACACATGCAAGGTAAAAAACAAAAATATTGCTCTAGATTAATCTATGATTTGTATCACCATCGTTATTTCTCTTCGAAATCGACAATAAGTTAGTTTATTTTTTGTTTAATAATTACATAAGAATAGAATCTAGAATAGTCTTTTCTTGTATCAATTTAATGTGTTAATTTACATGTTTAAATT